ACCAGAAGGTGAGGCACCCGTGGGGACTGGCTTCTGAGGTAATCCAAGCTTAAAGACCGTCCAAGACAAGCCTGTGAACGTGGAAAGGGGCAAGCCCGAGAGAAATTTCAAAATTAGAACGTGTTGACAAGCGGGATATAAGGGACAAAGGAGTGAAGAGAACCGTCCAAGATGACTATAAAAGTTCTAGCCTGAGCCCTGGCCAGCTGGCTCAGTTGGTTAGAGTGTCGTCTCGTCCACCAGAAGGTTGTGGCTTTGATTCCTGGTCAGGGCAACCAATGGATGTTTCTCTTTCTCTCCTTTCTTCTCTCTTTAAAAATAAAAATCAATAAAAGCATATCCTCGGGTGAGGATTAAAAATAAAATAAATAAAAATGTTTAGCTTGAATCACTGAAGAGAGTGAGATTGAATAGGGGAGACCAGGAGTTAGTCGAGGTCTGTGCTACAGGCCAGGTGTGAGATAAAAGAAAAGCTGCAGATCGGTCTCTGCCCCTGGTTCCTGACACAGGCCTCCTAAAACTCTCATAATTTAAGTGACAAGGCACTAGGAGTATCTTCTTTTTTTTGGGGGGGGGGGTCCTCCATCTTAAAGGTTTTAAGGATGGAGATGTTAGAAAAGGTCCCAGGGAAAGATTATATATATATATATATATATATATATATATATATATATATATATATATATATATATATATTTTTTTTTTTTTTTTGATTCCAGAGAGGTAAGGGAAAGGGAGAGAGAGAAACATAAATGATGAGAGTGAATCATTGACTGGCTGCCTCCTGCATGCCCCAAACAAGATGAAGCTGCAACCTGGGCACAGAAACGAACCGTGGCCTCCTGCTTTATGGGATGAAGCTCAACCACTGAGCCCAGGGAAAGATCTCAATAAAATATTCAGTAGCCTTCCAGGTGTGTCTTTCAGGGTTCTGGTCTCCACTGGTTGATTGGCCGGCACCAGGGCAGGAGGGGCGGGGGGTCATTATTCCATGCACCTGGGCCTGAGGTCAGCCATGACTGGTTTTGTTCTAGGAGCATCTTTTGTTGAGGAGACTCTAGGTGGGATCTGGATGGGGGCTGGTCACCAAAAAACAAACAAACAAACAAAAAAACAAGCCATGATTAGAACCTGGGAATGTCCAGTCCCAGCCCCTGTCCTCCAGAGAGGGGGGAGGGCTGGAAATGGTTACTCATTGATCATGCCCACCTGAGGAGGCCTCCCTACAATCCCAATGGCATGAGGGTTAGAGAGCTTCCGAGTTGAGAAACACATCCACCTTGGGAAGGTGACACAGCCGGACCCCACGGGGACAGAAGCTCCTGGACACCAGACCCTCCCAGACCTCATGTCTCTCTTCCTCCGGATGCTCACCTGTAGCCTTTATCGGATCCTTCAATGAGCTGGTTGCCCTGAGCTCGCTAGCCAATTAACCAAAGCGGGAGGAAGGAGGGATCATGGGAGCCTCCGATCTGTAGCAAAGTTGGACAGAAGTAGTGGGTACCTGGTGACCTTCTACTTGCAATTGGGTGTGAAGCTGGGGTCGGGGGGCAGTCTTGTGGGACCGAGTCCTTAACCTGTGGGCTCTGACGCTTCCTCCAGGTCAGAACTGAGTAAAGCTGCAGGACGCCCAGCCGGTGTCCCAGAGAATCGGCCCGCAGATCGAAGGGTCCCGGGTTCGACTCCGGTCAAGGGCATGTACCTTGGTTGTGGGCACATCCCCAGTAGGAGGTGTGCAGGAGGCAGCTGATCGATGTTTCTCTCTCATCATTTCTAACTCTCTCCCTCTCCCTTTCTCTCTGTAAAAAAAAAAAAATATATATATATATATATATATATTTTTTTTTTTTTTAATGTCCCGATCGAGACCCTTCTGCTCGGGGGGAGGAAACCGAAGGAGAGGTGGGAGGACCAGGGCAGTTGTTCGGAGGCAGGCTGCTTTTTAGCTCCCGGCTCACAGGAGGCTGCTGGTGGCTGCGTGTCTGGGCAGCTCTCAGCACCCAGCTCGGAGAACCTGGCCTCCATGGCAAAGGTCCCAGGGAGTCAGGCTCAGTCTCCCTCCACAGAACATTCCAGAGGCACAGAGGAGCTGGTTTACACGTGGTATAACCAGGGCCATACACAGGCCGCTGAGGTCCAGAACTGCTTCCTCACCACATGGTCTCGGGCCCTGGGGTCCCCATCCTTCCTCCGTCTCCAGGTGAAAAGGTTGCAAGATGTCAATTCCCTTTCCCTCAACTCCTCACCCCTCCCAGAGGCCCTCGTCAGCCTCGGTGGCAAGCCCCTGCTCCTTTGGGTGCTGATACAACTAAACTCTAGGAAATACACACCAGAGGCAGGCAGATTTTTGTTTTGTTTTTTGACTAGGAAGCTCTTAGTGCTGATCCCAGTCTCCGGAGTGTCTCCAGAACTTCATTATCTCCAACTGGAATCTCTGCTTATCCCACCAAGCCTGGAGGCCCAGGTCGAGAGCGGCCCCTTCCGGTAGGACAGCCACTCCCTCCCAACTCCCTCCAGCCTGACAAGTCTTCTTGGCACCATAGGCCACCCCACCCTGCTTCCACCCTCTTCATGTTCTGAAAACAAGCACGGCCTAGATATGGCCACACCAAGCCAGGCTACCAGAGGAGACAAACACAGGCGTGGATAGAGTTTCTAGTCCTTTCTGAAACCTGGGGTATGAATTACCTGGGAAGTAGAAAGAGGAAAAGAGGTTATCAGGGAAACTTACATTCTTTCCATGGAAGGAGAGGGGGCTAGAAAGGGCCAGGGAGGAAGAGGGTTGTATCTCTAGTTTCTTTGGTCGAGAGGTTCATGTAGATTCAGCTAAGTCCCTGTTGGGCCCTGCCATTAACTACTTTCTTGGCAGAAAAAAAAAACACACACACAAAAAACCATTGGACTCATTGGACGACGCTCAGAGAGAGTAAAAAACGGAGTAAAAAACGAAGTCCTTTCCTAGCAGTAGCCAGACTGCCTTTCACTTCGCAGAAGACCTGGTTACTCAGCTGCCTCCAGGGCGGAGTGCTAAATGCCTGTCACAGGATCTCCGCCTCGGACCAGTTGTTTTCCAATGAAAGGCGTACTGGCCTGGCATCCAGCACGGCCACCGCCCCAGGCAGGGTCACAGGTAACATTGACCTTACAACGAGGACTCAGGCAACGACATGGAGCTGCTTCACGGGGACCTTGTAGCTCCTCTGAATGCCACAAAGCCCTCGTACCACAGGGCGTGGATGTCTGGGCCACAGCTCCCGGAACTGGTCAACAAGGTGCCCATCTTCCAGAGGCACTGAGAGAGCCTCATCCTTGAAAGTGAAATCAGGCCAGGAGCTCAGAGACGCATGAACATAATTTATTACATTCACCACACAAAGAAGACAGCGCAGGAGAAAGATAAGAACTGGAAAGGCCATGGAAATCAACCAGTCTGAACCCCTGGTTTGTTTTATTTATTTATTTTAAAATACATTTTTATTGATATATATATATATATATATATATATATATATATATATATATATATATATTTTTTTTTTTTAGAGAGAGAGAGGAAGAGAAAGGGAGAGATGATAGAAATATTGATAATACAGAAGCACTGATCGGCTGCCTCCTGCCCTGGGGATCGAGCCCATCACTCGGGCATATGCCCTGACTGGGAATCAAACCAGCAACCTCTTGCTGCATGGGATGACACTCAATCCACTGAGCCAGGGCTCAGCCCTTGGTTTTACAAATGAGGAAACCAGAACGCCAACGTAGACAAAGTCAGAACGACACACAGCAACACCCAGCCTTAGGCTTCCGGCCTTGAACCACATAGAACCTAAAGACCTCATCTGCATTTATTTTTTGGTTTTCTGTGCCCTGTGGTACCACGGAGGCTTTTCTCCCTCTTGATGCCACAGGAGGAGCCCTAAACAAAACACTAGGATGGCAGGGACGTTCCGAGCCAGGAGGACAACAGACCCACATGGAGCAGAGGGAGAGGGGGATCCGGGAAGAATTCAATTCCTCCCCAAGAGTCCCGATGACCCTTTCCCCACAAACATACCCCCAGACCTGAGGTCTCAGGGCGAACATACTCGCCTTCCTGAGGTACCGATCAGGCGTGGAGCGGGAAGGAGTGAGAAGCCGGCGGAGGAAAGAGAAAGATTTATAACAATGTCGTTCTGAAGTGAAGTCCAGTGTCGGGTCAATCTAAGCATCGCGAGAGAAGGCTGCAGAACTCAGTCACTGAACCAGTTGTGAGATATAAGCAAAAACACCAATAACTTAGCAAAATAAATACGAGAGTCTCGCTGAGATGGGTGTAACCCAGTGGAAACAGATGTTAAGCTCTGACTCAGTCCAGGTGACTGAGGTGTACCCTGTACCATATCTTTGGGGAATCCCTAAGACATTCTGGGAGTCTTCAAGGCAGAGAAGTCACACGTCACTGTCTGTGTGGCCCTACACGATCCTTCTGCTCAAAGCTACACCCTGAGGGCACATCCCCTTCCCCCCGAAAAGACAGGCTGGCCAGTCGGAGCGGAAGGAGACCCGGGCCAGCATGAGCGGAGGGTGGAACCGGTAGAAAAACAAGTGTGTTGCTAAGACCTGCGCTGTGTTTTGTGAGGAACCTGGTTCCCCTGGGGACACTCTCCAACATCTGCGTGTCCATCTTCCAGAGCCGAGGCAAATCTCATCATCACTTCACGTCTCCCGACTGGTCGAGGGCCCGGGACAGCGGAACCCCAGCCTACAGCAGGAGGGAGGCTCTGCCTAGAGAGAAACAGTAACTACAGGGATAGGGTCCCACCCTGGCTCCTGCCAGCAGGATCCGGTCCGCCCAGGGCTGCAGTCCAGAGGAGCCGCTCATCCTCTCTCCACCAGGAGCTCAGAAATGGGGGCCCCAGCCCCGAGCCCTGCGGGCAGCCAGGGAGCGGTCAGGAAGGTCAAAGTCAGGGTCTCCACAGGTGAGAGGCGGCAGCAACAGCATCCTCCTCCTTTTCCGCGGCTCATGTTTCCACCACTCGGATGAGAGGCATGGGCTTGGGGCCGGGGGGCTTGGCTATCCTGACGCTGAAAAGGAAATGGGAGGCACTGAGTCCAGTGTCGATGCCGCCCCTCCCAGAGCCGCCCTTCTGCCTTCGTCTCTGGAATTCTCTTCAGCGCCGGCTGAGCCCTTGGGTTCCAAATGCTTTGAAACGGTGGCTGTCAGTGACAACTAAGGGAAGACTTGGGCTAGGGGGTGGGGGTGGGCTTTGGTCTGGGGGCTGGGGTGATGCAGAGAGAGGGGGAAGCTCAACAAACTGAGACGTGGGGATAGCTGTGATTCTTGATTTTTTTTCTTCTTCTTCAAAGTCTAGGACTTTTTTGCATATCCTTTGAGGGGGGAAAGGGCTCTCTCCCTAGAAATACGCACACATTACACATATGCATGGTTGCGTATGACTTCAGAGGGTTCAGACCCCTCCCTTAGCTGTCCGTCGGCCTCCCGGGGGGTCTTGGTAGGTCTATGCTAACTTGGTCAGAAAGTGGTGCAGGTGGAAAGCGGGCCCGATTAGAGACGGAGAGGACACACTGGATGGGAAAGAGCCCTGTCCTTGCCTTCGCAGTGCAGGTTTGTCACAGCTCTGTCCCTCTTTCCTTCACTTCCTCCCTGGGCCCCACGCCGTGACGCCCACTCACCTGCCCAGGTTCTCGGTCTTGGCCCAGGTCTGGGTGCTGAAGTTGGCGTGGCTGACCTGCTTCTCGATCAGGTGTTCCATCCGGTCGTGCATCTCTAAATTCTGTGCCACAAGTGACGAGGTTAGAATTTGCCGGCTTCTGGATGGTCCTTCACCATGAGACCCGCTCATCCTGGTCTCTCCACCCCTGTGTCGGTGTTGCCGTCACCCCCACCCCTGCCTTGGTGCCACCACCAGGGTGACCCAATCCAGATCGCTCCCGTCCTCCGGGGATGACTCCAGCCCCCTTCCCTGAGGAGTGTCCTCTCAACAGCTCCGTGCCACACTGACCATTTCCTGGATCTCCTCCCTGTACATTTCCTGTACATAATTTTCTGGAGTCAGTTGAGATCTCTATGCGCCCTTGTTGATATGTTATTCCATAAAGTATCCTTAGGTCTTTTTAAAAAAATGTATTCTAGCCTAACCGGTTTGGCTCGGCGGTAGAGCGTCGGTTTGCGGACTGAAAGGTCCCAGGTTTGATTCCGGTCAAGGGCATGTACCTTGGTTGCGGATACATCCCCAGTGGGGGTTGTGCAGGAGGCAGCTGATCAATGTTTCTCTCTCCAATCAATGTTTCTAACTCTCTCTCCCTCTCCCTTCTCTGTAAAAAAAAAAAATCAATATAAAAAAATAAATAAATAAATTAAAAAATGTATTCTATCTCTAACTCTAGACTGCAAACTCTCTGAAGATCAACAGCCCTGTCTCCCTTGTCTTTTTGTCTCCCCGCCACAATGGAACTTCACCCCGTGGCTGCAGAGCAACCTTCAGGTAGTTGACGGACAGGAAAGGCTCTGGGTAAGGCTGAAGTCAGACCAGGGAGCACTCCTTAGCTGATCGAGCCCATCACCTTGGCCATGGAGAGACTCCCCCTACAATGCCTCCTCCTGCAAAGCCCAGCTCTGCTGTCAGCTCCGCTGCTGAGCCCACAGGCAGAATGCAGGGCTTGCCGCCCTGCTGCCGGGACAGCTCTTCAGAGTGGGGACAGGTCTTACTGCTGATTCCTGGAAGGTTCTCTGAAATTGCTTTCTGAGCTGAACCCGCCGTCCCAGATACTCACCTCCGAGCGGCAGCTAGATGAGACCCCCGCCCCCCAGCACCTCTCCCCCTTGGGGGCCGCCTGGCACACGCACCTCTGCTTCCAGGTAGGCCATCTTCTCCTTGAGCTCCTGGATGCTGGCGTCCTTGGACTGGACCACAGCCTTGGAATTCTGGAGCTGCAAACGTGTGGGAGACACTGGAGCTCATTTCAGAATGACTCCTTCCACACTCACCGAACCTCACCCCGCCGCCAGGGGAGGGGTCTATGGCATTCGTGTGACTTGCTTGGTTTTTCTGTAAGAGCCTCATTTCAGTCAATATTAAACTCTAGATTACCCCAGGTGTAGGGGCAGAGGGAGTGAGGGGAACACCACCTTGACAACCCCAAATAATGGATGATTCCAAAACCGTTCCATTTGCCTTTGGGAAATACAACTTCTTTGCTCATTTAAAAAATCTTTATTGAGTGCTTACTACGTGGTGAGCTCCCTTGTAGACAACGGGGGGAACAAGGCAGAAAGAGCCTCCTGGAGCCGATGTGCAGCAAACATGCCCGGCCACACAGGGCTCTTAAGTTCGCAAAAACAACCCTGCAGATCGGCATATGCTGAGTGTGCCACCCTCCTGCTTAGGTGGGGGAGGCAGGGAGTCTGCTAAGAGGCACAGGTTTGATACTCTGCACATAGATAAGTGAGTTTATTGTGACTTGAGAGCATAAATGTGTCCTATGGAATACTTATAAATCTAAGCCACGCTCCCCAGGAGAATGAATGAATGAATAACGAATACATACATACATACATACATATATACATACACAAATACATAAAAGCGTAGGCTTGACAAGCAGGCAGGGCTAGACTCAATGCAGTGACTTCCAAGGGAGTAACCCACAGCAGGAGGTCCCACCCTGCGTACCTGCTCTATCATTTGCCGAACTTTCCGCTGCTGGCTCTTGAGCATGTCATCCAAGTGGTGGATCTTCTCCCGCAACCCGGCCACCTCCTTTTCCAGGTCAGCAGCCCTGGGGACGGAGAGCAGGAGGCTGAGGCAGGGCGGGAAGACGCTCTGACCACCCAGTCCCAGGAGGAGCCCTGGGCTCAGCGTTCCCATCTGGTGTGATTCCCTCTGCCCGACTCCACAGGGGTCTGCCCTGAGGAGTAGGTGGGGGAATGTCACATGGGCAGCATCACTAGAGATCAGGTAGCCCAAAGGAGGAAACTGAGGCTCAGGAAGGTGAGAAGTGACAAGTCATTCTGGATAGTTCTAGAGGGCAAAACCTGTACCAGTAGATTTTTCAAACATTCTAAGTTTCCACCCTCAGCTCTCCAGTTCCCACCCTCTCCATAGCCTTTCACGGTTGTGCCAAAGGAGAGAAACTGCCCCCAGCAGACTGAGGTGTCCAAGAAAGCAAGGATCGTGTCTCTTAACCCTGGAATTCCTTAGAAGGCCCTTCCGGTCACGTCTGTTGAACGTAAAAAGGTCCAACTCATAAAGATCAGACCCAATATGCTGAGGCTAAGTTTGATTTACTGTTGAAGATCTTACTCAATTGCCAACAGCATAAAGAACTTCCAAATTCCTGCAAGTCCAGAATGGCCCAATATTTGCTCTGTAGGTTTCCCTGGTCTGAGACCTCCAACCACCTCTGATCAGAGGGAACAGGCAAACCCCTCTAACCTCAGAGTGGAAAGGACTCAGAAACCCCCAGTCAGTTGTTCTGGGGGGAGGAAACTGGTGTCAAAAATTCCCCCCACCCCCCATCTGCATCCAGGGAAACAAGCCTGTGGGAGAATGTGCTGCAACGGCAGATGCGTTTCCAGCTCTTGACCTAGGCTCTCAACACAGAACCCTCTTTTGAGGCTATCGTTCCATGGAAAACGAACTCCCTGGAGACGGCAGCTTCCCACACAGTAGCTCCTGGGCGGGCCCACCTGAGCTGGCACCCGGTGAGTCAGAGCTGGAAGATCTGACGTCAGCACCAGCCTGGGAGCTCCAGGCAGCACGGCCCTCCCTCCCCTCCCCTCCCGCACCCAGCTTACGGGGAACAGGGCGCTTACCTTTCCTGTTCTGCTCGGCAGTCAGCATTCTTGCTCCGAAGCTCCTCCAGGGCCGCTTCCCCTTCCCTGACCCTCTCCAGTGCGGCCTGGTGCTCCTGCAGGGGCCGAAGGGAAGGAAGTCCGGGATGAGGAGGTGGCAGCAGAGTCTGCGTTTTGAGTGAGATGGCCACGAGGGCTGGGGCTCAGCCCCTACGGCCGCTGGGACGGTGCCAAAGAGCAGCAGGCCAAGCTGGTTGGATGGGGTACCCTCTACGGCCAAGGAGAACCCTTCCCTCAGCACACAGAAACTCCCCGGCCTCACCCCGCTGCCCAGAGGGAGAGCCTGGCCCTCACTCTCCAGGCCCACCAGCCGGCGGTGGCTGCCAGTCCCTCAGAAACCAGGCCGCCTGGCTCCTTACGAAAGGGCTGCAAAAGCCCATAAGGCAGCAGAGCAAGGACCCAGCTGCATGGAAATGGGCTCAGCGCTAGCCAGCTGAGGTCAGACGAGAGAAAGGCCTTTCCCCCTCCAACACTAATGGACACTCCGCCAGGCTCCTGGTTACCGTCTCCATCCCGAGCAGGCGCCTCTGCAGCTCTCGGATTTCCACCTCTTTCTGCTCCGCTCTGTCCTCCGCTCTCCGAAGGGCCGTGTGGCTCTGCTCGGCTTCTCTCTGGTATCGGCTGAGGGTGACCTAAGACACAGAATGGGGATGCATGAAGTGTGTGTGGTGGGGTGGAGTAGGGGGGACCAATCGTGAACAAAAGCCTTAGAAAAGGACCTAGGAACCTGGGTGCGGTGACAGGAGAAGGGGGGCAACTCTGATGAGCCCATGGTCACTGTTCTAGGACCAATTGGGAGACGAGCAGATTAACTCCAGGGTTCACTGGCACGTCGTGGGTCGAGATCTTTAGAGTAACATCCGGCAGTGAGCACCACTTTCCAAAGGCTAGCGTCTTCAACATCCCCCACGTCCTCCATGGCCCCCCAAAGTTACCCAACACGAACTCCCCCACTAATGCAAACACAGAGAACCCCGGGGAACATTTCCTCACACCCTCCCTTCTGTTCCCCAACTCGTCCTCAGCCTCGCCTCAAGCTACACTGCCGCCTACATACGAAGACCGAAGGCTACTCAGCACCAGGAAGAATTTGGTTTTTTTTATCTAAGATGATAAAGTTATTTGGAAAGAATCAAGCACAGTTTTAGAGTGAAAAGTAAAGTAGGGCTCTAGCTTGTTTGGCTCAGTGGATAGAGCGTCAGCCTGCAGACTGAAGGGTCCTGAGTTCGATTCCGGTCAAGGGCATGGAGGGGGGGGTGCAGGAGGCAGCTGATCGATGCTTCTCCCTCATCGATGTTTCTAACTCTCTATCCTTCTCCCTTCCTCTATGTGAAAAATCAATAAAACATATTTTTTTTAAAAAGAAGAGAAAAGTAAAGTAGGACCTTGCTTCCTTTCCTCCCACATGCATTTTGCCAACCCCCAGTTAGCCTTCGGGCTCAGCTCACACACCCCTGCTTCAGGGAGCTTCCACGCCTAGACAAGACACCACAAAGGCCACACGGCCCTTCCCTCTTAGAGCACGGAGCAGATTTTGCCAGTCGCTCATATATACCCCCCCAGGAGGCCAACAGCTTTATGATGGCAGAGATGGAGGCCATTTCATTTCCAGAGCTCAGCGCGGCATCCACCACAATCACAGCTCGATCAAATCACAAATCTAGCCCAACCCTCTCCTTTCCCAACTAAAGGTCAAATGACTTACTAGTCGAGGTTACGCTGCTGGAACCCTGTTACTTCATCACCCATTTCAATGCTCCCACTTACTCCACACTGACCCCCCCCCCCCCCAATCAGGTACGAAGAGAACCTCGGTAATCTCGGGAAAGCCTAACCAGCCCTGGGAAAATAGAAAACCAGAAGCCAGTTTGTCCAGCTCCTCCCCAAGTCAGAGCCAGGGAGGAGAAGACAGAACCGGGGAGGAGAAGGAGGAGCCCAGGAGGATGGGTGACAGGACGTCCCAAGTCCAAACTATTTAGGAGGGAAGCTTGCTTGTTAAACGAATCACTAAGAAAAATGCAGGGTACCTTACACATTTCTAAACTCTTCAGAGTGATCCATATATTTACATGTATTATCAGACTCAAGCCACACGTCAAATATGTTCACAGCCACTTTTTTTCCAAAGTTGAAACTGATGCTTAGGGAGGTCCATCCCTTGCTCAAATAACCCGTCAGCCACTGTAGAGGCAGCCAGTCGTTCTCAGTGCCCGGCTTCCTCACCCTCAATCCCCCCCCCCAAGCCCTCAGGCACCGGAAAGAGAACAGTTGGGTGGCCTTCCCCTTTCCACCAGCTCTCAGCACGTCTGGGCAGGGCGTAATTCTGTCATTACCTGTTTATGACATAAATACCTCGCCTGTGGATGAACAACAGCAGGTAACAGATGGCCAGTCTCACACGGAGCAGTTAGAGAAACTGTCCAGTGTCTGCCCAGGGTTCCTGAGGTCACACTCAAAGAACTCTGGGAAGGTATGGAAGAACTCACACTCTTTTCATAGTGGGGGGCTTCCACTTCTATCTATAGAGTTGTATTTTTTAGGATAACCTAGTATAACTTTTATAACAATAATTGAGATATTTGTTCATGATGACAAAGCTCCACATGGTAAACCCAAAGTCCCCAACTCCAGGAGCACAGTTCCTTCTATGCCCACCAAGCTTTATCCGCTCATCTAGTCCACTCGAGGCACCCATCCTACGCCAGGTGCTGTGCCAGATGCTGGGAATGCAGCGGTGAATGTGGCAGCAACTGTCCTTGCCTACGTGGTGCCGGGAGCCCAGGAACGTTTATCTTGGTACTCAGTGAAACAAAGCAGAGCAGAGAATCACGAGCTAACCAACCTTTGAACTCTGGGCTAGTCTTGGACAGCAAAAACCCTAAGCATTCAGGAGAGGGAAAAGCAGACAGAAATGCCCGAGGCCTCCAGGCCTAGCCTTCTCAGTGGAGGGCACCAGCCAGAAAGATATATGGAGACAGTCACTGCAGCCCAACGCTTGGGGCGCCTTCTCCCCAAATCCCAAATCTCACCTCAAAAGCCACACGGTCTGCCTGGTGCCGCTGCTCTGCCTTCTGCATCTTGGCCAGCAAGTCCCGCACGGTCTTCCTCAAGCTCTCAGCATCTTCATTCATATAGGTGTCCACCTATAGCCAGAGCAGGGAAGGGAAGGTAAAGCCACTTTGCTTGTGACTCAGTAAGAGAAGGTCACCAACATGCTCGTTTGGGCCATCTTGTCCAGACCACCTTCACAGAGGCATCCTTATCACAAAAGGAGTGAGTTAGTCTCAGGCAGCCAGGAGTTCTGATCATTCAACTGAAAACACTTTCTTCATACCCTAACGAACTCAGCTAGCCTCCTATCATCTGATTAATTTAGGACAGAGTCATTTTCATACATATATGTATCAACTGACTGACAGGTATGTCTTCATGTGTGTGTGTCCTGTTTCCAGAGAGCAGGGACGTTGTATCCTTTGGACAACAGTTCCCCTAGGGCAGGGACTGGGCCACACCCATCACAGGGAAGAGTCCTAAGGCTCACCTTTCACTGCCCAGGGACCTGAATCCAAGTAGGAAAAGGTGTCATTGATGTTACTGAGTCCCCTGCAGACACACCCAATCATGAGTTGGTGTTCGGGCTGAGCCGGCCTGCAGGGTCTCGCCCCCACCTCTGCAGCACAAGTAGCAGACACCCCAGTGGCCAGCTCCCTGGGAGTCTGACAGACAAAGCCCTCCGTCTTGCAGTGGGGAGCAGTAACACCTTCAAGCCAAAGCACCGCTGGGAGGAGGGGAACAGGGTCCTGGTCCCTGCATTAGTACTCAGTGCCGTGGGCCTTCATTGCTCTAGCGGTGAATCAGCCAGAAGACTCTGTACCTCGCCCTGCCTTACAGGCTGCCTCAAAAACAAGATACTATCTGGTAGGGCTTGGAGCTTATGAGAAGAAAGAGGCTGAACAGATAAGGGCATGTGTCATTATAACGTGTTGCCAATGGCATATTTACCAACTATGGTGATTCGGGTGGAGAGAGAAATCCAAGCTGCACCTCTGAGGTGAGTGCTGGAATCAACATTCCAAATCAAGCCTTCCATAAGTTATGCAGGCAGTTCCCCATATCTGGGCCTACGCTGCTGGGCCGGTGAGAACAATTTAAACGGCTCCTGGAGCCGAATTATTATGAGTTTAGTTCAAATGGCATCATCCGGCCCTGGTGGTTTGGGCTCAATGGTTACAGCATCGGACCAAAGGGCCACAGGTTCGATTCCCGGTCCAGGGCACATACCTGGTTGGGGCGTGTGTGGGAGGCAACCAATCAATGTGTCTCACTTTGATGTTCTCTCTCTCTCTCTCCCTCTCCCTCTCTCTCTCTCTCTCTCTCTCTCTCTCTCTATCTATCTCTCTCTCTCTCTCTTTCTCCTCCCTCCTCTCCACACTCTAAAAAATAGAAAGAAAAAAAAAAATCAATGGAAAAAATATCCTCAAGTGAGGATTAAAAAAATAAAGAAATGGTGTTCTCAGAAGATTAATATGGAAAATTTCACGAAGAGAAAAGGAGAGTTAGAAACTTTACATGTTGGAGTTGGAAACAACCAACTAGATTTTAACTAAGCAACATAGATAGATCTGTTGGATACATGCTGTTGGATACCAAGGAAAACACAGAATAAAGCTCAAGTCTATTATGAAAATCAAAAACACATTTACTAGGCATATTTAAATCATATGTTGAATGTATCAGAGTGAGTACAGCCACAGAAGGAAATACTATGCTGTCATTCAAAAGCATAAGGTAGATCTACATGTACTGGTCATAGAAAGAGGGCTATACCAGATATACTCTTCAGTTTTAAAAAATAAATAAAAAAGCAAATAAGGAATAATCATTTACCACAAGAATATGTATGTTATGTACATATATTTATACATATTTGTTACATGCATATATAATAATATATTCGCATGCATGCAAACACAGAATATTTAAATATGATTGCCTATATTTTTTAAACACTCTAGAACACAGGTACTCACCTTTGGCTAAACATTACAATAACCTGAAGAGTTTTTAAAAGTTCTGATGCCCAGGCCACATCTCAGGCCAATTAAATGACAATCTATAGCAGTGTTTCCCAAACTTTTGACATATGTGTACCCCTTCTATAATTTTCGTAACGCTGAGTACCCCTCGTACTCATGAGAAAGTAGAATTAGGTGCAGCTAAGCACGGTGCAGTGCATATCCCCACCAAACTCCGGTGCAACGCGTACCCCCACCAAACTCTTCCTGTACCCCTGGGGGTATGCGTACCACACTTTGGGAAACACTGATCTATAGGAAAGGCATGCAGGCAACCTGTTCTTTCAAGCTCCCAAGGTCATTCCCAATGGGCAGCGAAGGCCAAGCAGCACTGTTCTAGAAGGATCCACCCATTTCGATCTGCTAACAGTGGATACTTCCAAGGAGTGGGATTAGGGAAGAGGAATTTTTGTTTTATATGTTTGAGTTTTTATAGCAAGTTAGTTCTACTCATATATGGTGCAGAGTGTGAGAGAAAGCAATAATTAAAGGGGTCAGGGAGAAGGATATCCTGCCTCCTAGCTAAGCAGAGGTAGCCTCTGTTTTCCTCGTCACCTACCTCAGGTGGGCTGCTATACAGCGTCTTGGGACTTTGACTAAAACCGTTTGGTCTCTCTAGCACCACCTGTTCAAAAGGAAAAAAACACACAAAAACTGGTAGGTAAAACAGTCCCAAGCAACAAACTTCAAAACATTATTCTTCTAAGATCTCAAATCTTAGATAGACAGATAGATAGATAGATAGATACCGTGTTTCCCCGAAAATAAGACATCCTCCGAAAATAAGACCTAGCACATGGAAAGATAAGACATCCCCTGAAAATAAGACCTAGTGCAACTTTGGGAGAAAAAATTAATATAAGGCACTATCTTATTTTCGGGGAAACAGGGTAGATAGATAGACAGACAGACAGACAAGGAGACTGAGAAGAGGAAGAGGAGGAAAGGGAAGGGAGAGAAAAGGTGAGGAGTGGAGGGGGGGAGCAGGGAAGAGAAGGGAAGGGGGAAGGGAAGGGAATGGAATGGAGGGGAGACCAGTGCTGTGTGGGAAAATGGAAAGGAGAGAAGTGGAGGTGTGTGCTGCCTTGAGAGGGAATACTCTAGCTTGTAGGGAGGATGCAGGAAAGCTCAGTCTAACAACTCTCAACGGACTGGAAAACGTGCAGGTCCATGCCTGGCAGCCCAGGGAGTACAAGCAGCTGCCTGCCTCAAACCACTGCCCTTGCCCCTTAGGGATCTTGACATGGTTTGACAAATCATAAATCAAAAGGGGAAGGAGCGTTAGCTGCCATTCTTTCCAACCCCAACCTGATCCTTCATCATATGACTGCTGGCTGTGCCAACAAGGGGCCTGGATCTCTGGGCCAGTCTCTGAGCACTTAGGTTCTTCAGTCACCTGACGGAGGCCCTCCCAGAAACAGCTCAGGCAGCCAAAGTCCTACCTTCACCAAAGCAAAATGCGTTAGGAGGAATCGGCCACGCAGCCAGTGCACGCCCAAGCCAGAGAGGAACTCCGCTGGCACTAGCTGCCAGGTCACTTTCCCCTCAGGACAATGAGGACAGGGGCTGCCGAAGAAGGACCACCCACCCAAACCAAACGCAAGGGAAGGAGAGACAGCCTAGAATCTAAAGTGCGTGTGTGTGTGCGCGTGTGTGTGTGTGTGCGCGTGTGTGTGTGTGTATGTGTGTGTGTGTGTGTGTGAAGTCTGCTTCCTGAGACATTTCTACCCTCCAATTTGAGAAAAGCTGAAAAGCAGGATCTCGGGAGTATCCACCCCAAAAGGTCTCTCAGTTGAACACTCATTTACCGATGACCTTCTGCACCCCAACCCCCGTGCAGGGTGAGGGGAGTGGACACAGAGGTCAATCCGAACCTTAAGGAGTTCCCCTCAAGGACAGAGGTAGTGACATACACCGATGAGTAACAGACAAGGTTCCAGATGACACGACAGGAGTCACCCGGATTGAGCAAGAGCAACTTATCAGTTTGGATTTATAGGTGACTGTCTGCTTCATCAGACTCTGTACCACGAGAAGATGGATCACAGAATCCTTAGAGGTAAGAACGTTTGCCAACAAGTGAACAATAATTTTACTGATGTCAGTCCAATTTGGGGGCAGTGTCTTAGGAACAGGGGCACTGATACAGGGGCTGAGATGCCTTATCAAGGCTGGAGAAGCCAGAATCACCTGCGTTCTCTCCTTCCTGGCAATGGTGTTAGACTGGGCACCCACCGCACAATTGGTAAACAGGATTGCCTGGCATAACCACACCTCCTCAGTCGGGACCCAACCACAGACCATTTCCTGTTACCTGTATCTCCTGTTGATGGTGAGACTCGCCTGGATCTCGGTCCAGCTTGCTGCTTATATCCTCCCGGAGCTTCTGCAGGCAGCTCCTGGCCTGGGAGGGGAGGACAGACAAGGAGCTTCAGCCTTGGGATAGAGGAAGAGAGCACCCAACCCACCCACCTTTGTGCCCATCCCCCACTGCACCCCTAGGAGTCAGGCCCTGTGCTAAGCACTGGCTGGGGGAGGAGAGTCTCTTAGTCAAGTGGGCTAAAGCCCAGTGCCTTCTACACAAACAACAAAATTAGCAAAACCCCTGGCCCGGGAGCTAACATTCTGGTTGGGGAGACACACAACACAAAAGCCAAACAAGTGACATGGAGACAGGGTGAGGGCGAGGAGAAGCTGGGAAAGCAAAGCTGGCAATTCTAGATAGAATGGCCGGGGGGGAGGGGGGGTAACGCTAGGCACATAGCATTTATTAAGTACTTGTTGATTACTAGAAGGGTCAGGAGTGATATTTAACATATGACTGGGCACAGTGGCACTTTATAGAGTATATGCAGGGAGCAGAAGAGAGAAAATCAGAACCCACAAAAGAGCTCAAAAGTGTGAGATTTAGAGAAAAGACCATGGTCATCTCCCCGAAAGAAGGGGCGCCCACCTCCTGGATGTACTGGACCTCACTCTTCAGCTGGTTAATATTCTTCTCGTGGATCATCTTGTCTCCAGACCTCCCCTTCAAGTACACCTGAAACAGAGAGAACCACGCTGCTTAGCTAAAAAACCTTAGTGCCACAGGCAGCCTCAGACACTGCTGCTGGGAGGGTAAACGGTTACACCTTGTTGGGTGGCAATTTGGTGATTCAGATCAGAAGACTTACAACTACATTTACTCTTCCGCCTGTCAAATCTACTCCCGGAAATTTGGCCTAATGAAATAAGTTTAGCTAACCTGGCATAATCATTCATATATAAATTCATGGAAAGAGGGTTGTAAAGGGAATTTACACGTTTTTCTCTACAGCACATGCTTGAATCCTTTACAATGGAGAAAATGTTTATTACTTGTGTTAGATAAGACACACAATTTAGCAACATGTCCAGCAAAATGCTGTCTATGGCTGCAAAAATATAAACAGACAAGTGTCGTAACAATGGGAAATTACATAAATAAATTACGGTATCTTAACAGAATACTATGCAGCCATTAGAATACCAGATATTTATATTTATGGACACGAAGATGGTATAAACTACAATTAAATAGGCAGGGGGGAGGAGGCAAGCAAATATTAAGTATATAATACAATTCTGTTTTGTTGTTGTCTTAATCCTCACCAAAGAATATTTTTCCATTGACTTTTATAGAGAGAGAGGAAGAGAGAGGGGAAGACCGAAACATATCAATTGGTTGCATCCTGCACACGCCCTGACCAGGGCCAGGGGCCCTGCAACCAAGGTACGTGTCCTTGACCACAATCGAACCCGGGATCCTCCAGTCAGCAGACTGATGCTCTGTCTACTGAGCCAAACCGGCTAGTCAATTCTATGGTTTTTTTGGGGGGAAAACAAACATATGTATATAAAAATGTCTGGGAGGATATATAATCAAGTGTTGTTAACAATAATTACATTGACAGAATTATAGGGTAGTTTTACTTTTTTTAAGGGCCATGCATAACTTTAACATATTGACATATGTTACAACATAGCTAAACTTTAAGAATATGCCAAGTGGAAGAAGCCAGGCTCAAAAGGCCACCTGTTGTATTATTCCATGAAATGTCTAGAAGAGACAAATCTATCAAGACAGAAAGTAGAGTAGTGACTGCCAGGAGCTGGAAGGAGGGATCTGGTATTAATAGTCATGTTGGTGGCTCAACTCTGTGAATATATTAAATACCACTGAACACTTTAAAGGAATCAAAGTCCTGGCCAGTGTGGCTCCATGGGAGCATCATCCTGTACACGGAAAGATGGCGGGTTCGATTCCTGGTCAGGGCACATACCCTGGTTTCGGGCTAAATTCCCAGTTGGGCATGTTTGGGAGGCAACTGATCAATGTTTCTCACATCAATGTTTCTCTCTCTCTCAAATAAATTTTTAAAAACTTTTTTAAATAAATAAAAAGAAATCACAAAAATTGTTTTAATTTTTAAAACTAAGTTCCCTCTTATCTCCCATCCTCCCACTTGTGTCCATCCTCCAATCCTAAGCGCGGTCAGTGGACAGACACCAAGGAAGGTCATCCCATCCATCCCCTGTGTCTGGGGCCAGACTGCATCCAAGTCACTACAGACTGACTGGTCTCGTGGTGTTAATGAAGCTTTTCCAGGAGATGATGGGGAGCTAGCATCCCAGGTCTGGTTCTTCCTAGTCAAACCGGAAGTTCCCTTTGGCAAAGTCAGCCTCTGCTGCCTCTCCCATGCAGGAGGGAAAAGGATGGAGGGAGAGGAAGTGGAGGGTGAACTGAGCTTACCTTAATGATCTCCTCATGTCCATCGTTGGACTCCACCAGTTCTGAGGCCAGAGAATGACTGGGTGAGTGGCCAGACACCATGGCATAGGTCTTCCTGCCCGCCTGAGAGAGAGAGAGAGAGAGAGAGAGAGAGAGAGAGAGAGAGAGAGAAGCTCAGATACTATATGGCAAGCCCAGAACTTCTGCACCTTGACCAATGCAGACAACCTGCTCCTCCGAAGACTTGAAGCATTAGTCTGACTTTCCCTCCAAACATCCATTCCAGAACCTCTACCAGAAGCCACACAGCAGCAAGAACACCAGACGGAGAGCATTAGTAGAAACTGCAGGTTAGTTTCCGTTTTAGTGGGGTCTCCCCATCCTCCAAAGCAGCGCATGCTGCAGGCAGCGGGGTGTGCTGGAAAGGAAGTGCTCCCCAGGCAGCAATGGAATGAGGGGTCCGCGGCGAGGGAGGAGCACTGGCTGAGGGAAGGAGGCCTCACCCCACCAGAGACCTCCGTACCTTCTGGGCTATGTGTTCAAGTTCATCTCCTGTCAGTTCACTCTGGAGAGTCAGCCTGAGAATGTCCATGCTGCCCTAATAATGACAATGACAGCAACAACAACCTTTATCTCCGGTCTACGACGGCCCCGTGGGGTGGGCCTTATGATCGCCATCTCACAGGCGAGAAAAGCTGAGGTATGGAGGGGTGACATCAGCTCGCCCAGGATCAGGCCACCTCAGTGTGGCAGGCTGCCCCTGGGACTTCCGACAGCACCCTGCACCGCTCACAGCACACGGCCCCATGTGGCTCCAGAGGGGCCACCCTGGTCCTCAGATTACAGGACGCGCATTGCATGGACTCCCTTTTCCCCTGGAGAGGGCATCCCTGGATGGGTCACCTCCAATCCAGATCTTCTGCACCTGACAGCCAACCAAGAAGTTACTGATATATTTGACAAGACCAGGATATCCTTCCTAAACCAAACTATAGGAAAGTATCCGAATCCAAATGCCTGTTTCCATGAGCCACACAGAAATTGTCCAAATGAAAGAAGGCAAGACAATAGGTATTTACCTGGAGATCAGCCTCATTTCAAAGAAAGAAGCAGATTCCTGCCTGTACACCAAATCTGCCATGGCTGTGTCAGACGTTAAGATTGGGGAAAACTGCCAAGACTGGTTTGGCTCAGTGGATAGAGCGTCGGCCTGAGGACTGAAAGGTCCCAGGTTCGATTCCAGTCAAGGGCATGTACCTTGGTTGCCGGCACATCCCCAGTGGGGGGTGTGCAAGAGGCAGCTGATCGATGATTCTCTCTCATCGATTTTCTAACGCTCTATCCCTCTCTCTTCCTCTCTGTAAAAAATCAATAAAATATATTTTTTTAAAAAAAGATTGGGGAAAACTGGGTGAAAAACATATAAGAATCCCCTGTACTATCTTTGTAATTTTTCTCTAAATATAAGATGATTCCAAAAAAAATTTTAAAGTATTTTTAAGAAGAGAGAAAGGGGTGGGGGAGGAAAGGAGAGAGGAAGAGAGTGCTCAACAGAAAAATGGACAAAATAATTTAATAAACACATCACATACGAGGATATTGAAATGGTCAATAAAAAAAGGATTCACCCTCATTCGTCATCATTATCAAAGAACCAGAACAACGAGATAATAGTATGAATTACCCCTGAGAATGAAAACAACAACAAAAAAAACCCCACAAGGTGGGGGATTTGGAATAATGGAAACTCTCATACGCTGGCAGTAGGATTGCTCGTTGTCACTATCACTGTGGGAAATCCACCAAAGAGGAACATAAGCATACCCTGTGACACAGCAATTCCACACCTGGTTATCCTCCCGACAGAAATGCCTGCATGTGTTCCCCATAAACGCATATACTAGTACCTTCATAATGGCATTTTAATAGCCAAAACCTAGAAATTACCCTAATAGTCATCAAGAGTAGAATGGGTGATTTTGACATAGCCATACAATGGAACACTGTACAAGAGAAAGAATGAAGTAGACCTCGCCCAGAGGTAGGCAAACTGTGGCTCGAGAGCCACAGGCAGCTCTTTGGCCCCGTGAGTGTGGCTCTTCCACAAAATATCACGTGCAGGCATGCACATACAGTGCGATTGAAACTTCGTGGTCCATGCGCAGAAGTCGGCTCTCAGCCTGGGCGAGTCTATTTTGAAGAAGTGGCGTTAGAACACTCAAGGGGCCAAAGAGCCGCATGTGGCTTGTGAGCCGAGGTTTGCCGATCACTGACCTAGCCGGTTTGGCTCAGTGGATAGAGCATTGGCCTGTGAACCAAAAGGTCCCAGGTTCGATTCCGGTCAAGGGCACATGCCCAGGTTGTGGGTTCGATCCCCAGTGGGGGACTTGCAGAAGGCAACCAATCAATGATTCTCTCACTATATGTATGTTTCTATCTCTCTCTCCCTCTTTTTTCCTCTCTGAAATAAATTTAAAAAAAAAACACATATATTTTTAAAAGCAGCTGATTTTTTATTTATTTTTTAAATATATTTTATTGATTTTTTTACAGAGAGGAAGAAGAGAGGGATAGAGTTAGAAATATCGATGAGAGAGAAACATTGATCAGCTGCCTCCTGCATGCCCCCTATTGGGGATGTGCCTGCAACCAAGGTACATGCCCTTAACCGGAATCAAACCTGGGACCTTTCAGTCAGCAGGCTGACACTCTATCCACTGAGCCAAACCAGTTTCAGCTAGCAGCTGATTTCTTTAAAAAAAAAAACAAGTACTGTATATGCAACATGGATAAACCTCACAGTAATATTAAGAAAAGAATCCAGACACCAAAGTATACTTCATGATTCCACTAAAATAAAAAGTATAAAAACAAGCAAAATGAAAACGAGCTCTAGAAGTCAGGACAGTAGTTACCTTCAGGGTGGAGAGCAGTTAATGCCGATAAAGGGACAAGAGAAACACTTCTGCAGTTGCTGACAATGTCTTGTTTCTTATCTGGGTGCTGGTTAGTGGAGTGGGTCCAGTGTGTGAAAATTGCTTGACTGTACATTTAGGATGTGTGCACTTTTATTGTTATTGTTAAATAGAATGCTTAAAAAAAAAAAAAAAAGGCAAACAAAAATGAAATACCCCTTAAGGTGGCATTTAAGTCACCTCACGATGGGGCCATCACTGTCTATACCACATGGTGTCTTGGTTCCCGCCAGCCCCCCACTGTACACTACCCTCTAACTTTCCCAAACTTTCCTAACCCAAGTGTAGAAAGGTGTCCAATCCAAAGCTCTCCTCCTCTCGGTCAGTCTCCTAATGCAGCCCACGCTCCCTCCTCCCCACAGGTGCATGCATTGTTTTCTCCTCCTGGGGCCCCCTCCTTCCTCTAGTCTCCTTGAAAAATTCCCACTCGGGCCTTCATAGCTCAGCCTGAGGCTCCTTTCCCTGGAGGCCCTACCCCAGCACTCCTTCACCAGAGCCTGGGCCCTGCACACCACGCATCCCACACTGTTCCCACGAACCCGCCTCATTCCTCCCTTAACTACGCATTCAACCATCTCCGCCAATAAAATCCCAAGTTCCTGACAACAAGGAGAGCTTATCCTTAGCACAATGCTTGGCTAGAGCGGGTACTTGGAAAATGTGTTCCAGGTGAGAAGCCCGGAGCGCTCGGTTTAGAGAATGAAGTGCTGGGGAAAGAGGAGGGGGAGGTCAGGGGGAGAAATGAGCAAAGGCTATGTATGAAAGGCAGCTCTAAGAAGTAAAAATGACTAATGGATATGTAGAAAATGCTCCACCTTACTAGTAATCAAGAAACTGCGAGTTAAAACGATGCTATAGACCTACAGATGGAGGAAGTACCAAAATAAGATGTGTGGAAGTGTGCTCCCAGCAGCGTTGCTTGCAATGGCAAAACACTGGAAGCAACCCAGATGGCTCACTGATAAGCGGATGCATGAATCAGCGCTGGGGTGTCAGTACAATGACATTCAGCGGAGAAGGTAAACGAACTGCAGCTACTCTATCGCCATGAATTTCAAAATTAACTTTAAGTGAAAAAGTGAGCTATAGGCCGAAACCGGTTTGGCTCAGTGGATAGAGCGTCGGCCTGCGGACTGAAAGGTCCCAAGTTCGATTCCGGTCAAGGGCATGTACCTCGGTTGCGGGCACATCCCCAGTAGGGGGTGTGCAAGAGGCAGCTGACCCATAATTCTCTCTCATCGATGTTTCTAACTCTCTATCCCTCTCTCTTTCTTTCTGTAAAAAAAAAAAAAAAAAAAATCAATAAGATATATATATAAAAAATAAAAAAAAGTGAGCTACAGAATATAAAGGAGCAACAAAAATGTATTTGTGCAGCACTCCTATAGTTAAATATATTTTAAAAAAAAGAGAGAGAGAGAGAGGGACAGTACCAAACTTGGACTCAGAGGCGAGATCGGAGTCTCACTGACAGCTCTTCATCCTTTAGCAAGTCACTTTCTTTCTCTGGGCCTCAGTTTCCTATCTGCAAAATGGAATGATAATACCCGCCCTGCCTTTGGGCAGGCAGGGACATGTGTAGACACAGTGTGAAAGTGCTGTGCAAACCATAAATCACAGCCTTGCTTTCCTAAGGAGCAAGGGAGGAGGGCTGGAGGGGGTGCCGGGGGAGGGGAGGCAGGGGGAGAGGGAGGGGGAAGAAAAAGTGAGACACCCGGACTAAATGGAGCCTGTGAATAAATCTAGGGTCCTCTCTGGCACCTCATCCTCCAAAATCAGAGCAGCCAGGCAGCGAGGCCACAGACCTCACCGCACAACCCCAACCCAGAGTCCGGGAGGGAAACCCGGGCCCCTCTGCCTGGTGGCCCTGGTTGTTTTCTGGAGCTAGGGTGACCCCGGGACTTTAGGAATGGCCCCCAAAGTCTAGCAGGATGGTCCCCATGGGGGATTCTCTGAAGGGCAGGATACAGAGTGGAGCCTTCTTCTCCCGGGGAAAAGGAACAGAGCTAATCACCAGGTAAGCAGCCTCTAACCTCACAAACAGTCCTGGGGAGAGGCCCAGCCACCTTCAAATTATAGGTGGCCTCTCTCGCTCTGTTCAAACACATCTCCGGCTGTGACTCACCGCTCCCAGCGAGCGGGGAGGGA